TATAAATATTTACTGCTTCATTATATCTTGATGTCGCTTCATTTAACATTAAATAATCTATAAGTAATTGCGCTGTCGAATATGACTATTGTCTAACAATTATGTAGTCAAACATGGCTGCTGTTGCGATAAGTTATTCATAAAATTGTTTAAGAGGAAGGATCAGGAGGCAAAAGTTTTATGAGCCAAAATTTCAGATGCTAAAACTTCGAGTGCTATAGGTCTAGGTAATTAGGTAATATCCTCTTTTTTTGGGGGGCTATAATAATTCGACTAAAAGATAAAAGAGATAACTCAAATATGCAATATTGATATCTTGAATGTTGTAGATATCGCCACTAATATCCTTATTATTAAGAATAATATTTCAAGTTGACAGTAACCAGAAAAATTAGGGCACATTATGTGCACTAACACACACGTTCATGTGGATACCCAATTCAAGATCTGAGGTACCACTGTTTAAGGAATTATGACGCAAATGTGCGTCTGTGTTAGATCATACGTACTGTACGTACGTACAGTACATAATGCCACTAATACTTGTACTAACTATTAAACATGTACTGTACGTACCGTATTCGGCAATCATAAATAGAGATGGGCATCATGCACCTTATTACTGCATGGTGCTTAGTCGATTATAACTTATGTAAACGTTGATATCCGATGTGATTTTCATAATATTAATAATAATGTAAGCGGTGCTGCTCACTCATCGAAAATCATTTCATTAAAACCGACATCACATAGAGTTAGGTTATCGTTTTTATTAATTGCAGGTATACCGGGTGTTTAATAAGTCCCTAAATAGGACCTTTTTTATATCTCTGCTAATATTGGTTTTTATTATATAAAAAGATTATAACGATTACTAACTATTGCATATTTTTATATAGTATAATAATAAACATTTAATGATTTATTTTAAAAAAAGTGGGACTTATAAATTGTCACTTGACGTGATGCCGGCTAAGTGAACTGTCGGTGAAATGATTGTCGAAGTAAGGCGGATCCTAATGTAACAATTCGACATGCACCATCTCAAACCATAAACATATCATGTATGACATATTGGAGGATTTGCGGATTTGGGTCTAAATTAGGGTCCCTGGATTTAACAATTGACTGTTTTATAATTACGTACGTACGGACATTAATTACATTGTTAAAATCTATAGACCTAATTTAGGTCAAATTCCACAAATTTGCCGATATGTTTTCAATAAAGGTAAAAAAGAATTAAAATTGAGCCTATTCATATCTCTTTACCGTTTCAGACTAACCAAGATATTGCACTTTCACGTACGTACGTACATTAATTCTTTTGTAGACTATACTGGTATTGGTATTATTTATTTATCGCATGATCCATTATGCAAGTTATTATGTTTCACCACATCCAATTTTGGTTATATATTCGGAGATAGTTTTTTTTTGTTTTTGACAGCACTAAAATTTTTCACTAACGTTAAACTTTAAAAATGCTAAAATTACCAAACGAATGCTTTTTTGAAATATTTAACAATCTCCGAACCAATCATGGAAGTTTATTTTCATGTATTCTTGTAAACCGTCAATGGTGTAGAATTATTATACCATTATTATGGAGCGAACCAATATTTAAAGATAAAAGGCTTATAAAAATATGCCTTTTAAAATTAAATATTGAAGAACAATCTCTATTAATTCCCTTTAAAATTAACTTTCCAAAATTTTCAAACTTATTATTTAATTACACAAGTTATATTACTTCTATTGGTTGTTACGATTTAAATTATGGTATCAAAAATTGGCTTGAGGATTATTCACGTAATTCAACTTATGCTAGAGAATATGAGATTGTAAATGCAATTAAATATTCTTTAATTGCAATGATTTTACGATCAAGTAAGAAAATTAAACATTTAGAATTTGACCAACCTATTTGTAAAAACATAATATTTAAAAATCTTTATAGAAAATCCATTACTTCTATTATTTTTAATAATTCTAATTTTGAAACAATAGAAATATTATTGGAGATTCTTTGCACGAATACTGCTTTAACTTCCCTAACACTTCATAATCAGATTAAGTTTGAAAGAATAAATGCTTTAACAAAGGCTCTATGCACAAATACTACTTTAACTTCTTTAACTATTCATAATTGTTATATTTGGTTTGAAGGTGTAAATGCATTTGCAAAAGTTCTTCGTATAAACTCTGCCTTAACTTCTTTAAATATTCATAATAGTAGTCTTAATGGACTAAAGGCATTAGCAGAAGCTCTCAGCATAAATACTACTTTAACTTCTTTAAATCTTTCTCATATTTATAATATTTATTCTCCTGAAGAAGTGAAAGCATTCGCAAAGTCCCTTTGCATAAATAATACTTTAACTTCTTTATCTCTTAATGATAATCTATTTGATTCTGAGGGTGGGAAAGCATTAGCAAGAGTACTTTGCATAAACACTACATTGATTTCTTTAAGTATTTGTAATAATCAACTTGGTTCTGAGGGTGGGAAAGCATTAGCAGAAGCCCTTTATAAGAACACTACTTTGACTTATTTAAATCTTTCGAATAATCAACTTAGTTCTGAAGGAGGAAAAGCATTTGCATATGCTCTCTGTAAGAATTCTACTTTAACTTATTTAAACCTTTCACATAATCAACTTGATTCTGAAAGTGGAAAAACATTAGCAGAAGCTCTTCGTATAAATACTACTCTGACTTCATTAGATCTTTCATGTAATCATCTTGATTCTGAAGGAGGAAAAGCATTTGCAGAGTCACTTTGTAAAAATTCTACATTAATTTCTTTAAATCTTAATTATAATCTTCTTGATTCTAAAAGTGGAAAAGCATTAGCAGAAGCACTTTGTATAAACACTACTCTGACTTCTTTAGATCTTTCACATAATTTACTTGCTTTTGAAGGTGGAAAAGCTTTTGCAGAAGCTCTTTGTAAAAATATTACTTTAAGCTCTTTGAACCTTTCTGAGAATATACTTGGTTCTGAGGGAGGAAAAGAACTTGCTAAAGCACTTTACAATAACACTAATCTGATCTCCTTAAGTCTTAATGGTAATTACCTTGATTCTGAGAGTGGTAAAGCATTAGCGGAGGCTCTTTGCACAAATTCTACTCTAACTTCTTTAGATCTTTCGCATAATATACTTGATTCTGAAAGAAAAAAATTATTTACCCTTTTTAGAAACTCATCTCTAACTTCTTTAAATATTCGTAATAAGGTTACACAAGCTTGTATAAACGGTTTTTATATCAAAGACTGGCTTTCTGTTACATTTTCACCCAGATTTTGAATAAACTAAAGAGATAAGGTTTAAAATAGATTGAAACAAATTTTCTGCTAATGTTCTTAATACTGAAAATGTGAAGCAAAAATTTAGCATGTTATAGAAAATTAAAAACCCATATTAAAATCTGAATGCTCACTATGGGTGAAATCCATAAAAATATTTCTTTCTCAAAAAAGTCTACTAATCTGTTCTTTGTACACTAAATATTTAACACAAAAAAAAAGGTATATTTGAACAATTTTTTAAGGGCATTGTGATTTACCGTCATAGCGATGCATCACTACTCCTGGGTCTATATAAAAATCCGAAAGCCAAAATCCCGAAATTTAATTGTCGCGTCGTGTGATGCCTGATTCCAATATTCAAAACTCGCTTAATTTGAATGTTTGAACCTGAAATCACACGATGCGACAATGGGGTAGCGATACATCGCTATGGTGGTAAATTACAAAATTCAATTTTTAAAAAATTTTTATTTAAAATGATACTTGAACGAAATTTATTTGGAAATACGTAAAATATATATAGTAATTTAATAATCAAAATAATAATTATCAAATTAATTTCACGTATTCTATTTTTATATTGAATTATATTTTAAACTTTGGAATTTTTTAATAATGTCAAAAATTTCTAATATCACATACGTATTGTATAGTAAATCTGTGTAGCTTAAACAAGAAAAAGAAAGCATATTTTATAATAAAGAATATCATTAAGTCGTTCTTTATAATTGCCAAAAGTATACAACATATAATATGATGTTTTATTTTATTAAATATAATTCTCTACATTTGCGCAATATCAGTTTATATTTTGTTAAAGATCTTTTAGCTCTATGCACTTATAGTTTTACAAGTTTGCAATTATTTCACGTACATATGCACTTCATTTTTAATTTAGTATTGATTTTGTTATCATCAATCATATATCATATGGCATTCGAAATTTTTTGACGATTTCACGTGTTGACCGTTTATTTCAGCTGGAATTAAAATAATTTTAGCATATGACCAATACTGTATAATCTGATCCGAACTATGAACAATTTTATAGAAAGATATTTATTTACTTAAGTGGTAAAACATTATATAAAACGAAGAATACCGCTTTTATTTTCCACTCCGGAGAATAACCCAAGCGATTGAGAATTTACTTCTTATTCCCGTCTATGCGGAAAATAAATAGTACGCATTGTTAGTACTATTATCAATTTATATAATTATAGCAATATAAATAAGGTAGATTTAAAGTTATAAATCTACTAATACAGTGACTGACTCGTCAACCCGTGACTTGAATAATTCGAAATTATCGTAATTCAAATCATGAAATTTTAACTCGAGAGTTACTCGCGAGTTATCATTAAGAAAATGATTAATAATTTGCATTTTTTGTGTAATCACTATTTAGAGTATACTTTTTGTAACTCGCAATTTACAAAGCTTAAGAATTAATCGTCGTGATTCGAATAACTCGAATAAAACTCGAGTAAGTAATTTGATCGAACACTCTTCTTGGTTTAATTCACGAGTCACGAATCCCAGTCACTACTTTAGTGAACATGTTGTAACAAGATAGACAATATAAAAATTTTTATGGCCATACACCAAAATAAACAAATACGTACGTACGTACAATATTAAATGTGAGGTAAATCTATTAAATAGTAAATTTATCTAATAATGATGATTATACAGGCCAATGGCATTGGGTATAATGAATCCATAGTGGATTACTTTTAAAAAGTCTAACAGTCTCTCTATCTTCACTATCAATCAGTGATTTACTTAAATACATGCACGGCTCACTAGAGCCAGCCCCCCATATCCAAACTTTATCAACAACCCATAAATCATTGACAGTGTTTTCTATCGGCATTACGATATATGGACCTCTAAAGCGATTTATTGCTTTATATGACCATCCTGCAGCAGTAAAACCGAATGAACAACCATAGGTAATTATCATATCATTGCAAAAACTGAGAAGCTTCATATTAATAAGAGCATTTAATTCTACTCCAAGATTATAATTAATAGAGTTCGTCATGTCTAAATTATTTTTTACATAATTAATTTTAAGAGAATTAATCTTACTGAGATCAATAGATTTGTGAAGAGCACTTAATAAATTATCTCGATCTTCATTGGTATCAGATATTATAAATATAGAAGCTTCCTTTTCTTTGATTCTTAATAACAACGCTTTAACAGCTTGACTATAATGTTCTACAGGTGTAATCATATCATATACTGATCTTCTCGATCTTAAGTATACACCTATATTATATTTGTTAAAGTTGTTTTTTATAAAAGTTTTTATCTGCCTGTCAATATTCGATCTTAATCTTAATAATTTTAGACTAATTGCTGTAAAAACTTTATAATCAGGTATAACTTCATTGAACCATTTTTTATAGTGAGGATTTGACATCACTGGAGCGCACGCATAATCCCATGTATGAACATATAAAATGTCAAACGAATTCACTTTTTCATCATTCAGATTTCTTTTAGTTATTAAAGAAAAGTCATTTTTCGCAATGTCATGCAAATATTTAAAATTACTATTTTTATATAAGCTGGCAACAGTGTTCCAATCATGCTCGAAATCTTTCTCAAAATAATATTCAAAATCTTCATATCCTTCAATGAAAAATAATCTATCAGAAATAATCGAGTACAAGAATCCACAAACTATTCCAGGTAATCGATTTCCATGTCCTGTTAGCATATCAGGTTTAACAACAACAACTTTTGGAAGGCTTGTAAAAATATTGGCCGATTTTAATTTTTCAATGGCTTGATTGTGTTTTTTAATATAATTACTATATATTACTGCAAATTCTTTATATTCATAATCTTCTATTTCATCGATCAAATCGTCATTTTCTATATTATTATTTTGGTCTATCATATGTGTGTTGTTCGATACACTCTTCTTATTTAAGATTAATGTATTCTTTAAGTTCTTTACATTATCTACATTCTTCGAGATTATTGTAAGAAATGTTAAAGAAAAAATAATCAACACTGAAATAATTAACAGTCTTAACCACTTAGTGTGTGACATGAATATAAGAAATGAATGTATGTATAGCAATAGATAATGTAATAAACTTAAACTTTTGTTAACGATGAAAAACCTTTTTGACAAAATTTTATCATTCGATATAAGAAACCTTTGATATAAGAAACTCTTGATATAAGAAAGATTTTGCAAGTCCCAATTAAAAATTCTATAATAAAAAGCTCTTGATATAAGAAAATCTAAGGTTTTGACTGGACCCGGCAACTTTCTTATATTAAGATTCACTTGTACAAACCAAATTTGTGTACGTACGTACAGTACGTGCATATGTACATGTACATGTATAACATTCCTACAATGAACACACAATTGGGTAACAAAATGAACCAAATAGATATAACAAATTCAAATACACAAAACTACGTAACAAACCTTTGCCATTTTAGATATGAATTTTTTTGTTGCTGTACGTAGTACTCTAGTATTTATTTGACATTTATAGTAATAATTTTTGGAAGGATTTATAATTTTAAAATTATCAAAAAAATTTAAAAAAGAACTAATCAGTCAACATATATTTATTTTATCATCAATTGCGTGAGTATGATAAACCACTTGACGATTTAAATAAATCGTTAAAAATTTTTACAAATGATGATATTTGCACAAGAATTCGTCATATACTATCATTTCTATAGCCAAATATAATGAATCACTTGATGGTTTAAATGTCATTAAAATATGATCCAAAAAGTGCAAACGCAATAAGAAATCGTGGAGTAACATATTTTCAATTAGAAAGATACGGCGAGTCACTAGCAGATTTAAATGAATCGTTAAAAATCGATTCAAATAGAAGATAATACGTATTTACTCAATATCCCTTCAAAACCCTTATATTCCTGGTTTATATTGCTTACTGTCCTATTCTAAACCGGCACATAAGCTTACCGCCAATAGTAACACTGTCTTGTACTTTGAACATTTTCTAATTTTTCTGATGTGAATTGAAGATTTACAGTATAAAAAGAAACATGGAATACAGTCTACAGAATTATTATATATTTAAAATTTTGTTAATTACAAAAGGCTCACTATAAAGAGGTTGATTGAACTTAAAAAATATGAGTAAGAGTACATTACATTAATTTCTGAAGTACGTTAAGATTAATAGCAAAGTTTTTAAAGTTTAAGATTTAGAAGTAAAGCCCATTTACGAATAGAGCACTATTATTATTCTTTATTTAAGTTATGTTTCAGCGTAGATTATAAGAAACCTTTTTTTTTATTTAAAGTGTTTTTTTTATAAACTGTATAGTACGTGTTTATTTAGAGATTTATAATCATTATCGTTATACAACAGGGTGAAATCTTCGATGCCTGCTAGTAAAATCCAGTTGATTGGTTAATTTATGTAAAATCCTGTAAAATCTCAAGATGGATATAAAGCCCAATATTTATGGGTCTGTATTGTTTCACTGACAATCACTTCATAGACACACATTTCACAGACAATTATTCATTAACAAGTTCACCGACAAGTTTTTTTTTATAAATTACACTAACTTAAACTCTAGTTATAACCTAACTCTAATGATATTGACCATAATTACTTTAAATGAACTTGTCGGTAAGTAATTGTCAGTGAAATGTGATGTCTACGAAGTGATTGTCGGTGAGTTGATGGGATCCCTATAATTATAGGGTGAAACCCGTGATCAAAATAATGAATTTTTTAAAACTTGAACGAAGATATTTCGACAACCACCTGACAAAATTTTATAAGATTTTTTATTTAAATTCCATGAATTCGTAGAATTCAAATAATAAAATTTTCATCGAATTTGGTCATGTGGTTATCAAGATATCTTCGCTTAAAGTTTTAACAAAATCAAACCGTCTATCAAAATAAAGGCTGTGCCAAATTTTTAATAAAACTTCGAGCGAAGATATCTCGACAACCGCTTAACCAAATTCGATCGAAATGTTTTTATTTGAATTCTATGATTTATTGAATTCAAATAAAAAAAAAATTCATCGAATTTGATCAAGTGGTTGTCGAGGTATCTTCGCTCATGTTTTATAATAAATTTGGTGCAGCTTTTATTTTGTTAGACGTTTTGATTTTTCTAAAACTTTGAACGAAAATATCTTAACAACGACCTGACTAAATTCGATGAAAATTTTTCATTTGAATTCTATTGATCCATAGAATTAAAAAAAAAAAAAATTATAAAATTTGGTCAGGTGGTTGTCGAGATATCTTCGCTCAAAGTTTAACAAAATCGAAACGTCTATCAAAATAGAAGCTGCACCAAATTTTCTAAAACTTGAGCTAAGATATCTTGACAATTCTGATCAAATTCGATGAATTTTTTTTATTGAATCATATGAATCCATAGAATACAAATAAAAAAAGGTTCGTCGAATTTAGTCAGGTAGTTATCAAGATATCATCATTCAAAATTTAGAAAATAAAAACTATATCAAATTTTTTCTTAATTTTTGAGCAAAAAATATTTCAACATCCACCTGACCAAATTCGACGAAAATTTTTTATTTAAATTCTATAGATTCATAGAATTTAAATAAAAATTTTCATCGAATTTGATTAGGCAGTTGTCGAGATACCTTCGCTAAAGTTTTAAAAAATTTTTGCTCAACTTTTATTTTGATAGACGTTTTGATTTTTTAAACCTTAACCAAAAATATCTTGACAACAATCTTACCAAACTTTATAATTTTTTTTTTTATTTGAATTCTATGAATCAATAGAATACAAATAAAAAAATTTTCATCAAATTTGGTAAGATCGTTGTCAAGATATTTTCGGTTAAAGTTTTAGAAAAATCAAAACTTCTATCAAAATAGAAGTTACGCCAAATTTTTCTAAAGTTTTGAGCAAAGATATCTCAACAACCATTCGATGAATTTTTTTATTTGAATTCAATAAATCATAGAATTCAAATAAAAAAATTTCATCGAATTTGGTCATGCAGTTGTCAAGATAACTTCACTCAAAGTTTAGAATAAATTTGGCACAGCCTTTATTTTGATAGATTTTTTGATTTTTTTAAAACTTTGAGCGAAGATATCTTGATAATCACATGACCAAATTCGATGAAAATTTTTATTTGAATTCTATGATTTATTGAATTCAAATAATAAAAAAAAATTCATCGAATTTGGCTAAGTGGTTGTCGAGATATCTTCGCTCAAATTTTAAAAAGTTCATTATTTTGATCGCGGGTTTCACCCTATAACTATCGGGTTTTACATATCCATCTCGGATTTTACATAAAATAATAGGGTGATAAACGGACTAAGTAATCAAACCTATGTCAGATATTTTAATCATTTTACTATGATCAGGATTTTTATCA